CCAACACTTGCCCATATTGAGAAGCTGCAGTTTCATCCACATTTAATGCTCTTCCCCTTTCTCTTTCTCGCTACATTCTTAGCTGCAACAACAGCAACCATCATCAACAATCCATCTTCACTAGATTTGTTCATTTTTTTTTCTCCCACTTACACTTTTTGTAGAAGTTAATACATGCAAAGCAAAGCAAACGTATGAGCTTGTAGCCAGGGTTTGTGCCAGCCAGGAATGCTGACTGACAAGAAGTTCATATCTGCAAAGCTAGTTTGTGGCTCCAAATGTGATCTACTGAGAGATTTTTGATCCCAAGTTGCAGAAATCTTTCCGGGGGAAAGTCTTTCTGGACAAAAACGAGACACAAACTTACCTGATATTTATGCTTGCTGAGAAGAACAGTGAAAGTGGTTTGGTTTCCATTCAAGACTTGCATAAATAAGGAGTGTCTTGATCTGGGTTTTCGGTAAGGAGCTTCTGGTATTTGGTTTTGGTCACATTTTCTACTCCATTGGTATTTTCTTGATGGAAATCATTCTTTACACTGCTGCTTACTTTTTACTCTCTTGAAACATGGATGCAAATGGTGCAATATGAGGTTTCAATGTAGAATTTAGCTTTTGCAAAGGCATTTGACTGTCTTCTTTACTGATTTGTTATACGCATTCTGGGAGCATGCAAAATAAAAGCATTAAATTCTTATTCTAATTCTAGTTCTGGTGGCCAATTATCTAAATATAGTGTTGATGTGGGTGTGGATATCATAATCTTTGAATACTTAGGTTCGTGCTGTGCGATGGGAGTTGTCAGCTTAGTGCTGAGAGATTCCTCTCTCTGGGTCTCAACGTGGAAAGTTGAATTTCTCGTACAGCTTGTGGCTTTATTAAATTTGTGGTGGGTAGTTTCAGGTTTGGGCTCAATGTCTAGCATTGCCATTTCTTATGGTGAGAATGGTCCTGTTTTCTGTGGTTTGAAATTTGATGGTTCTCATCTTGTGACCTGCTATGGATCAAACTCTGCGATAATCTACGGGACTCCTTCTCATTTCCCATTTGCGGGTCTAACTGCCGGTGATGGCTTTGTTTGTGGACTGTTGATGGATTCCAGCCAACCGTATTGTTGGGGAAGCAGTGGCTATATCCAAATGGGAGTTCCTCAGCCAATGATCAAGGGAGCTGAGTACTTAGAAATCAGTGCAGGCGATTACCATTTATGTGGTTTGAGAAAGCCTTTAACAGGAAAGCGTAGAAATTATGCTTTGGTTGATTGTTGGGGGTATAATATGACCAAGAACTATGTATTTGATGGGCAGATCCAATCAATCTCTGCAGGTTCTGAGTTTAACTGTGGATTGTTTTCTCAGAACAGGACTGTTTTTTGTTGGGGTGATGAGACCAGTAGCCTTGTCATTAGCCTGATTCCGAAGGAAATGAGGTTTCAAAAGGTTGCAGCTGGTGGTTATCATGTTTGTGGAATTTTGGAGGGGCTGAATTCTAGAGCCTTTTGCTGGGGAAGGAGCTTGAACCTTGAAGAAGAACTCTCAGTGGCATATTCTCGTCAAGGAAATGTTGATTTGCCGCCAAAAGATCCCATGCTCATGGTTGTTGGAGGGAGGTTCCATGCTTGTGGAATCAAGAGCTATGACCATGAAGTGGTTTGCTGGGGTTTTATTGTCAAACCGAGTACCCCAGCTCCTAGAGGCGTTAAAGTCTATGGAATTGCAGCTGGAAATTACTTCACTTGTGGTGTTATAGCCGACAAATCGTTTCTCCCAGTTTGTTGGGGTGATGGGTTCCCTACCTCTCTCCCTCTGGCTGTCTCACCTGGCCTTTGCAAGGACACTCCTTGTGCACCTGGTTCCTATGAAGTTAATCATGAGAATGCACCTTGCAAGTCTCCTAACTTTCATATTTGTATGCCCTGCGGCAATGGCTGCGCTGCTGAAATGTACCAAAAAACTGAATGCACTTTGAAATCTGATCGAGTGTGTGAGTATAATTGTTCTAGTTGTAACTCAGTGGAATGCTTCTCAAATTGTTCTTCTTCGTATTCTGATGCTGCTAATGGAAGAAAGAATGAAAGGTTCTGGTCACTGCAATTGCCAATCATCGTCGTGGAGATTGCCTTTGCTGTTCTACTGGTGATTATTGTGTCTTTAACTGCAGTTTTATATGTTCGCTACAGGTTACAGAACTGTCACTGCTCATCAAAAGAGTCAAAGTCCAAGAAACCTAATGGGAATACTTCTTACCAAAAAGACAACGGGAAAATTCGTCCAGACTTGGATGAACTTAAGATTAGGAGAGCTCAGATGTTCACTTATGAAGAACTTGTAAGGGCCACAGGTGGGTTCAAAGAAGAATCTGTGGTGGGAAAAGGAAGTTTCTCTTGTGTTTACAAGGGGGTATTGAAGGATGGAACTGTTGTTGCAGTAAAAAAGGCTATAATGTCCTCAGATAAGCAGAAGAATTCAAAAGAGTTCCATACAGAGCTAGATCTACTGTCAAGACTGAACCATGCCCATCTATTGAATCTGCTTGGCTATTGTGAAGAAGGTGGCGAAAGGCTTCTTGTTTATGAGTTCATGGCTCATGGATCTTTGCATCAGCATCTTCATGGAAAGAACAAAGCCTTGAAAGAGCAATTGGATTGGGTCCGAAGGGTCACAATCGCAGTCCAAGCTGCTCGTGGAATTGAATACTTGCATGGTTACGCTTGCCCACCAGTGATCCATAGGGACATCAAGTCCTCAAATATTCTCATTGATGAAGAACACAATGCTCGAGTGGCTGATTTTGGTCTCTCTTTGCTAGGACCTGCTAATAGTAGCTGCCCATTAGCTGAGCTACCCGCTGGAACACTTGGTTATCTTGATCCGGAGTACTATAGGCTTCACTACCTCACAACTAAATCCGATGTCTATAGCTTTGGAGTGTTACTTTTGGAAATCCTGAGTGGACGAAAAGCTATTGACATGCAATATGAAGAAGGGAATATAGTGGAGTGGGCAGTTCCTCTGATTAAATCAGGAGACATATCTGCCGTTCTTGATCCACTCTTGAAACGTCCAGCTGACCTCGACGCCTTAAGAAGGATTGCAAATGTGGCTTGCAAATGTGTGAGAATGAGAGGAAAGGAGAGGCCATCAATGGATAAAGTGACCACAGCTTTGGAGCGGGCTCTTGCACAGTTGATGGGCAGTCCATGTAGTGAACAACCAATTTTGCCAACTGAGGTGATCTTGGGAAGTAACAGATTGCACAAGAAGTCCTCCCAACGATCTTCGAATAGGTCAGTCTCGGAAACCGAGGTAGCAGAACCCGAGGATCAAAGGTTTGAGTTTAGAGCTCCTTCATGGATTACTTTCCCGAGTGTAACTTCCTCTCAGAGGAGAAAATCCTCAGTATCGGATGCAGATGTTGATGGAAAGAACTTAGAAGGAAGGAACATGGGCAATGTGGGGAGTGCTGGGGATGCTCTGAGAAGCTTGGAGGAAGAGATAGGGCCTGCATCCCCTCAAGAAAGCTTGTTCTTGCAGCACAATTTCTGAATTTGTAGTCTGTGTGTTGGAGGGTTGAGAGTAGTTTGTTGAAATGTAAGAAAGGAGAAGGGAAGGATGTAACTTGTATGGATTTCTTGTACCATTACTACGGCCATGACTACCACATCTTGCTTTTGTAACTTGCAACTGCTTAATTTTGAGTGATTCTGTTCTGACAACTTGGTGTTTCTTTTTGCTACGAAAACTAGATTTAGCCCTCAATTGTTACTTTGAATTCTTTCTTGTCACAATTGTACTGATCATGGTAACTTCTTTGCTCAATGCCCCTTTTACTGCTAATGGATCAACCTCCTGTTTGCTCTTCACTTGCTCAATTATCAGTAGCTCACCATTATTTTTATCTAGCAAATTAATGCCCTTTTCGTGTTAGTATCAAATGTCAATGAAAAATTCCCTTGGAACTTTTCCATTTCCTTTACTACTCTCCCCTTCCTTATTCTAGTACAATAACAAATATTGTTTTAAATCTTTCTATAAATCTTAACAATTATATTTACAACTGATATGAAACAAGATATCACAAAAAAACATCTTGCAATGTTCAGATTGGTGGTAAATAGAGACAACAAAGGTGCCATAGAACCTCCATTGTCCATCCTATAATCGACAATTATCATAAAAATTTAATGGATCCTCATTTAAAATCATAAATTACTTTTATCAATAATTCGAGAATACTATAAATTTAGTAAATATTTATTTATTCTATTCCAAATTTGTGATTAGGATGATGTCATTTCAATTTTTTGTGATAATTTTGATGGACTCAATAAACAGATATCTAAACAATTTTAATAGAAACAGTTCTATTTAGATGTCTAAAAGGTAGTCTCCTACATAAAACAATTTTCATCGACTTGCATTGAAACTTTCTGATGGAAAGATTAATTTGTAAAGATACTTACAGACGGGTTTGAGACATAAATAGATCAATGACAAGTTAGGAATCAGAGTGAAACTCAGTTAAAATGTTAAAGACCATCAATGCATTTAACCACTGAACAATTACTACAAAAAGCAAACGTGAAGAATTAAACAGCAGTAAAACAAAGCAACACACCACACAACAAAATGTACCAGCTCCCTTGGTTAAGTTTTTACAGACTTCATACCCACCTCAAAGTAGAATCATAGAGAACAGATCCATTAAAACATGAGGGATCCTGATTATTCAGGACCCATATCATCACAAAGCCTAAACAGAGAACTATTTTTTGTAATATTACAAGCACTTAATCAAAACTTGGAAAGGATCTCAGACTGTTACCAGACAGGACAACTACACGAACTAATTCTTTAAATTCATTTTCAAAATGGAAAGAGAACTGGGGAACCACCGGTGTGATGTGTCGGCTTCTTGTTGGAATCCATGCAATCTGTATTATATGCATACACACACACACACACACACACACACACGCAGAGAGAGATTGGAGCAAACGAGTTCTTACCCAAACCAACAACTATGATGTATTATTGTGATTTTCCTCCGTGATAACTATATCATTGATAAGTCATTTTGTTTTTTCCTATTCTATTGAATACATTGACCTGTGAGAGTTTACATATTTACACTAGTTTCGACTGAATTATGTAGCATTCAATGTAATTTCACTCATAGTACAACAAAAACCTAAAACTGCAAAAAACTTCTCAGCAGTAAATTCATGCAAATCGATGTACACGGTTTGCTTCATCTGGGGCAACAGGAGACAGCAGATAAGAAATCCTTGTCATATACCTATTGTTGGAGGGGTTAATAACAAGCATCCAATTCACAATGAAATGAGAAACAAAATCTCCTCTTAAAGCATCATGATTATATCCTGAAAATCATAGCTAGTAGAGATGAATCATGACTAGGGCCAATAAGAACCTGATATTTGATGAAGACAGAACTAGCTCCAAACTGAAGGGTTTCTAAATTGTGTCCCCATTGCATTCAAGAGAAACCTGACAAGATCTTTTCCCTGCACCTCTTTCTCCTTCTTAAGATCAAGATGACGAACCTAAAGATATTATCATAGATATGTGACAAATTTTAATTTGGTTAAAACAATTGCAGCAGCAAAAAATTTAAAACAAAAATAAAAAAAATAGCCTCCCAAATTAGAATTACCTTAACAAAGCCAGTTTGAGATACACCCATGTCTGTTATGATAACAAGACATTTTATCTCATGTTCACTAGCATATTCATATTGCTCTGTGAGGCTTGGATCAGGTATAGGAACAAGCTCAGCCTGATGTATAAGAATGACAAATGAGGATGAAGCAACCAAGAGAGTTCAAACAACAATAGTGCATCGTACATTCAGGTTAAAAACAAGGTACTATCTCCTACCTTGATATTCTCCTTCCACAATTCAGCAACAAGTTCCATGCGTTCAATTAACAGACCACCTCCTCCTCTTGAACAAACAAGGATGCTGGTGGTAGCTTCATTTCTGTGGCAACACAAAGTTGATGGCCCAAGAGTATGATCAAAGAACAAAATTTAGGACGTAAAAGACGGAGATAACCAATAGGAAGAAACTGCACCTAATAGGCTTGAAATCTACAGGACAATGCTGGATTATAGTCTCAAGTGCAAGGCTGGTGCCAACGGTACCTGGAGGATTCGTTTTCTGAATGGAGCCAAAAAAAAAAAAGAACATTTATCACTAACTAAATATCCGAGATATGCTTTTATGCTTGAAATTATGTACCTATACCAGGGCACTAGCAAACAGATACTAGTAAAATTATGCAGCCCTGGTTATTTGATTAAGAATTACAAATGCAGTTAAGACTGGGAAGATTGTCAAGGAGAGTAATCGAGATTGCTGGAATACTAATCCACTATTTATAGTAAGTATTAAATTAAATGAGAAATGGAAGTAAAGTGGTTATATAACTTTTATTTGATAGTTCCTTAGACGTAAGACAGCACTTCATAAATTGACTTTTATTAGGAATTGAAACCACATCTTACATAGATGAGTAACTGTGTGTTCATTACACATTTATGTTGCATGGTCAAGTGCTTATGCATATACAAATGTACGACAAAAATGAAAAGCAGGAAAGGAATCACAGGTACAAAACCTACATATTCATGATCCCACATTTGATGAAGCAGATAGTCATAGCGACCACCGACAGCAAGCAATGCACCTTCAGTAAGTGATCCAGGATGGTTCTCCTTTCCTAAGTATATCTGGGAAACAAATTAGAATATTAGTTATCTAGAATACTGGCAGTCGTGAATACTGGTAGAGAGTCACTTTGACTGTTGAGTTTCAACACTTTCATTTGTATGGCAATGTCAACCTCAATTCCAACCAGTGATAGCAAGTTACAAATGGGTTTTGCGAACGCACACTTTTTAGTTAGTGATAATGGCTTACAAATGGGTTTTGCGAACGCACACTTTTTAGTTAGTGATAATGGCTGCATCAGGTTAGCAGTTTCTCCTATAAAATTAAGCGACTGCAGATAAGAGAGAGTGTCAAATAGTAACAAAAACAACAATTGTCAGTGTTTCTCACACATAAATGGGTCGCACTTTAAAAAATCAAACCAATTGTCCAAATTTTCTTCACTTTGTACAGGCCCCTGCCTGGGCTATTTCCAATGCAATTCAAACAATTCAAATCCAAGAATCTTGAGATGATGGGGTTGAATAAAGCATTGGGATTAAAAATTTTGGGCACATTTCATGAGCATCTAAGTGCAAGATAATGAGTTCGAGTGTCCAAGATGAGCCACTTTAAGAAGGGGAAAAAAAACTAAAGAGTAACATAATTTGGAGTCATGACTATGCATATCAGAAAGTTAGCAATTCTTGTCTCAAAGATCGATGCCTATGGCAACTATGATCAACAATCACTACTGTGACAGAATGGTATGGTAAAGGTTATATAAACATATGCAAATGAGCATTCACATTCGACTGCAAAGGACATAAACAAACATACACACATAATAGGGAATCGCTATACCTGAAAAAACAAATCTCTATGATAGCTCTCAGTTGGTGGCATAAGTGCATCTATATAAACATGTTTTTCAATCCTCCAGACCCTCAAGTAACTAAAGAGGTCTGACAACTCATCCAGCGCTTTGCGGGTACGTTTATCTGCAGGACAGTGGAGCTTAAAATAAGTACAATACCTCTCAATGATACCTCAGATCAATAATAAAGACCATACCAGCTGGCAAGGCTCCCCTCAATCGAGGAAGGGCCTGGTCTGCAGCTCCACAGAATCTTAAACCAACAGTCTGCAATCTATTTACAGTAGCCTCTGCTAACTTGAGTTCCTGGAAAAAATGAAATTTAGAAAAGAACACGTAAACCATTGAATTAAGTTACATCAGAAACACAGGATAAAGGTGTGCTACGGAATGATAAAGGTATGGTGAAAATTCTTTTTTCAAAAACAGGGTGTTGGGGTGATGCCAATCTTGTGGAAATGTTAGCTATTCGAGAGGCTTTAATTCTTTTTATGGCAGCAGATTGGTGTCATCCGTTTGGGTTAATTATTGAAACTGATTCTTTAAATGCTGTTAATTGGGTCTCAAAACCACTTTCCTCTCCCTGGTGCCTTAGAAATCTGGTGTTAAAAATCAAATCTCTGCTGGGTAAGATTCCTAGATGGCAGATTATTCATATCCCGAGATCTGGGAATGAATTGGCAGACAGCCTTGCCAAATTGGGGGTGGAAAGAGCCACAGACTTGTTGCAAGTTCTTCCTTAATTGTCATGTTATGCTTTGTCTGCTTGCTCGACTTCCTCACGGGGTTTGATGACTCCTTTATGTTTCAAGATTCATGATTTTTGTGTACAGGGGTTTAATGTGGTCTTAGTTTCAGCCTTGCCCATGGTGATATTGGGAGTTTTGAATTTTGTTGTTCTTGATTTTTGCTTGGTGCAGCAAGAGAAGGAAACAGGCATGCTGGTTACGTTTCCTCGTCTTACTGACTTCTTCTTTGGTTTTATATTTTGGGCTGGTGGGGATGTGTTGGCTAAAGGGTTATATGTACATGCTAGGATGAATGGTTTAAAGGGCAAGGTTGTTTGTCTGGTATTTCTGTCCACCAGTTTGTCATCAGAGGGTCAAGACAAGTGTTCTTTCCAGTTTTTGACCCTCATCTGTTTGTATATGAACTTCCTTTATTTATGAATGAACTCTAACTTTCAAAAAAAAAGAAACACAGGATTTGCCTATAATTCACTTCACGAGTTCTTCACAATTGCATTTGACAATGTTCAGGCTCTAGTGACCGGAAAAACACATTAATTATATGACTACTGCCAAAACAGTATCTATTACTGCATGTACAATAGAAAGTTACTTCTCTCCTCAACAGTTGACTCATAACATCCAAAGAATTATGAATCATCCCACATGAACCAGAAAGATTCATTTTTAAGTTAGAATTTGTTCACTTGGAATCTGGATTCTTCTATCAAGGCACACATACTAAAAAGTAGCTTTTTATCACGATTGAATAATTAGTAGACAAATATTCTTACCCTACTTTCTATTTGTTCTAAAGTAACTCCATGCATTTGCATGTGCTAATGAGAATAAGAAGCAAAAAGTAAATAATTTTTTAAGAACGTATTAAATAGCAGCCAAAATATTGCATTACATTTTACAAAATTCTCATCATTCAGCAACATAGCTCAGCCATTTTAAACCAAAAATAAAAGAAGGGAATTTACAAGACGGGGCTTTCGAATAGCATATCATGAAATCATTGGTTCTAGAACATCATATCAAGGTCTTATGAATCATGTCATATAAGAGAATTAAAGTGCAAAAATCAAGTAAAGCACTTGGCAGTTAACCAACGCAATCAAAGTGAACCTTGCATTTTATCATGCATCAACTATAAGAAAAATGTCCTGACCAGATAAACAATTGTTTCTGATTTTGGTGTAAAAGAATTTTGTCTTCTTTAAGGCAACTAAAATTATCTTGTACAAAGTCCAAACCCCATGACCCTAATCAATAGCATTATTTTATTATGCATCAACTACAAGAAAAATGTCCTGACCAGATAAACAATTGTTTCTGATTTTGGTGTAAAAGAATTTTGTCTTCTTTAAGGCAACTAAAATTATCTTTTACGAAGTCCAAACCCCATGACCCTAATCAATAGCATTATTTTATCATAGACCATTGAAATGCAAATACAACATAAGAGATCATTCTAATGAAACTGCTCACAAGACTGTCAGGAGGACAGGTACATATATATATATATATATATATATATATATATATGTCGCCAAGCTATCCAATTTGGTAGGTCATATACAGTAAAAATTCCCAAAAGGAACATGAATCCCTAGTAATCTGCTAAATGAGGTTTCACATCCAAAATTCCCTAGGACATGTCAAGCATGCATCCTCAACAGCTGTGTCATTTCATGCCAACACTGGCAGTGACCCCTAAATTGTCAAGTGCAAGCAACATGGGTTGCCACCTCCAGAAAGTTAGAACATTAACTAAGCAGAAACCGTGTAATGCCCAAGCTGGGTTCTTCATCCAAAATATCTTTCAAATCAAATAAAAATCCAAAATGATACACTTTTGAACACTTTTCAGATGCGGTATCAACCAATGTGGTGTGCTTCTAAACTTACAAGTACAGTAAGCACAACAATCCTTGAAGTCTTAACAACCTTCTCTGGCTAAAATCGTGACTTTAAATGAGGACCTGGTCATTCTTGGAAATATAGGCCTTATCATAAAAACCACCAACTGCATGTATATCTGCTTGTTTTAATTGTAATCATGTAAGCAAATACTCAATAGACACAAATGACAACAGTCACTGCAACTTTATAAGACTCTGAGAAGTACAAGGTCAGTAAAACCATTATTCCAATGGCAACTTTTACGGCTACTTAACATAAGGACTAGCACATGCATTAAGTGAGTGTTCCATAGTTTCCTCAAACCTGCAAAAGCTGACGCCTTATCACAACCCACTTTAACTTCCATTCAGATGATTGAGGACGCAAAGAAGCCATCATCGAGAGAAGCTTCATTCAATTAAGGAAGCAATTGTCAGATCAAAACTTCACACACTCAATAAAATGCATCTTATAAATCAGCAACATACCTCAGCTACTTTCTGTCGGTGCTCTGCATTGATTCCTGCCCAAGACCAAATTGCCTCAAGCAGGTCCCCATGATTAAGATGAATATCACACAATTCTGAGTTAAAAAATCGAGTTAATATGTCCATTGTCACCTGCAAATGAGTGCAAGATGAGTCCAATAATGAATCTACTACTAGAACATGGCAGCACATAACTGCATAACAGATTACCCAAACTCAGTGCAGGCATGACATGGTAATACAGATCCAGTAGTCCTGAAGAATTATATTCATAATGAATATAAAAGCTATAAAAATTAACATTTTGACCCTAGTCCCTTTTCAGGTTGATATAAACAGTGCTTTTTTATTTCTCTGGGAAAAGTGAATAACAGATCCTGTTCTTAATTGAAGCCCCAAAAACCTTCCTCATGGAGAAAATCACAATTTAAATGCAGTGAACTTTAAAGTAATTACAACATCTTCAAAGCATAATATCACAAACGTAGGTAACATAACATCAATTCTCAGTTGTAAAAGGAAAGTAGCTATGCCAACATTTTATAAGACAATCCAGAAGTTATTTCATCAGCATCCCAGTAGGACTAACTATGATACAATTTGGTCCCAAGCACATCACTGGGAGCAGAGAGAGAGAGAGAGAGAGAGAGAGAGAGAGGAATGGCTAGGTCTTCATTTTAGTTTCAAGGTGAATAACAGTCAAGGTTGAGCTAAAAACTCAAGCAGGTATAAGATAGAACAACATTACATAACCAGGGAAACATAGATAGATAAATAGAGAATTAGAGAATATAAATCACAAAGAACACAGTACCTTGAGAGCCTCTGCCTCTGTCAAAGCTGACGCACCTCCAATAATGTCAAAATCACCCTATTGCCAATCAACAGTCGTAGTGTAAAAAATTAACATAAGTTTTGACAAGAAAGCACTATAAATGATACTAACTCAAAACATTGTAGGAAAAAAGGTGCATCACAGCATAAGTTTTCCAATTTTTATACCTGAAGATAGCGGTTTGGAGGTGAATGACCAATTGCTCTTCTATAAACAGGTGATATCTCATATCGCTTGAATGAAAATTTCTAAGAAAGATAAAATGGAAAGTTAAATTATTTAAAACAGATCTCATTCAATTATCTAATAACCAAAGCAGATCAGAGACAATAAGATAAGCATGTATGTGAAAAAACCAATGAGGAAAAAGCAGTTATCTTAATTAGCAAAACAGTTCAGCTTCAACAACACTAAATATATAGATAAATATCAGTATAAAAAGAAGTACAAGCCACTGAATTATCTCCTCAATTCTGTTTCTAGAGACTTCCAAGAAAATCTAATACTTAGCTAATAACCAATCTGCCACCTAGAAGTCCTTCTAACATCTCTATTTCAATACTTGGATACTATATTGTAAGTGAAGCTCGATTGCAAGAAAAATCTTGTACTATTAAATGTAACCTTTTTCTTGCTTTTAAATCCCAAGCAGAAGCTTAAAGCCTCAAACTAAGTCTTAAAAGATGGAATAATAAACAAGGAAATATATTACATTATAATGAACAACTTTACTGTTTTACAATTTTAATTATCCAATAATATTTTCAATTCTAAGAATAATAATTATTTTTTGGATGCTTTTTCAGAAACATGTATTTTGAAAATAAAAAACAGAAAGCTTAGAGATGAGCATGAACATGAAAGACCAGTAAAACTTAGAAATAAGCGTTACGTTGCTGAACAACATTACATAATGCAGCAAAAGTTAGAATGTTAATAGACCATTTAGACTAACGAGGCGACATCTATAGCACAGCAAGGTCCTACATGCAGGTATTATGATTGCCACTGAAGTGTAGAACGCCACAGTCATCAGATCTTAACTGTCTTAAATTAGATGTTGGAAGTCAATTCTTTTTTAATATTCTTAAAATCCCTATTTGAATATCCTAGACTTGTCATGGTAAGTCGGATGTCTATAATGCATTATTCAGAATTAATGCATGTATATATTGAGTTTTTTGTTAGTCATCAAGCTCTTGAAGTCTACGATTGATTCCATACTAGAAATTTAACAAACTTCTGACTTATATAATTCTATCCACAACTGTCTAAGGCATTTCCCAAGAAATACTCAACCGTTCAACACCAAGCCATAAAGCAGCCCATTACAACTCAATGACTCTATTCACAACCTTACATTCATTTACATAATTAACTGCACATCCTTTCAGAAATTTTGAATACCTTCCTTTCACATGATTTCAGTCATTATATCGCAAGAACAGATAATGGAAAGGAAACACAATTTACGTCTAATAAGAAAAATATAGCAACATATCTCTTGAATTCAAGAATTTCTTCTGAACCTTCAACCAATTGAAGTCATTTTTTACTAACATCAACAGCTTTGCAACTCAAACATTAAAATGCATTTCTGTTAATCATATGAACTAGCAGCCAAACAAGCAACAGTGGAAGTTTATAACCTATCCTATGTTAAGAATGCAAAATATTGTGATATGATTTAAGATAAGAGAAATTTACAAAGGTGGTCTAAATTGGGACAACATAAATTTACAAAGCTACTCACCAAGCTTGTACATTAAATAGTACCTGTGTTCCAAAAGTATTGTCATAGTTGACCTTTTCAAAAAGTTATAACTAATTTTGTTTAAAACTAAACAGTTAAAAATCCCTAGAAATCTTAATGAGTCTAAAAGGGAATATGTGAAAATAAAAGATAATTTTGATGAAAACAACTCAAAGCAACTCAACCAAGCCTTAGTGCCAAACTAGTTGAAATTGCCTTCAAGGATTTATATTGTCAATAAACAATTATATTTCAATGAATCGACTTTATAAAATATAAAGACAAATATGGCTTGAAAAAGTCAACTGCAATAGTAATTTTGAAATGGAGAGAGTAATTGGTTTCCTTTTGCAATGTCCCAACAAAGAGGAACAAAATCAGAAAGATGATAAAATGAAAACATGGGTCCAACTTTTGAGAGAAGTTTGTACTCAATACCTGGTTTGCTACTATCCAACTAACAAATGGCAGACGCAGCTCATGACAGAGTTCAAGCATGTCTCCTCCATGAGTCAGAAGTTTGACAGTATTCCTTACCGTACAAAACCAAATATAATTAGCCAGCAGTACCTTTTAACAAAAAAAAAAATGAGGATTTTGACTATGAGGGGTACCTATAGAACTGTGGACAATCATCCAGCAAGCGCATGGGTATTATTTCAAGATGCTTAGCACAATGCTGTTTGAACACTTCCCTGGAGATCTCAGCAACATAATCACGAAGTTCTGTGTCTAACTCTGCAAACTGGATAGAAGAAGTATCATGTTGAACCATTCTCAATCTACCAGCATTCTGGTGATTGTTTTTCATTCCTAACATTTCTTCATCAAAAATGGCATTCACAACTTTGTCATAAACACTTGTGTCCTCGGAAGTCTGCATTGTACATAGAATATCTGAATATAGAAGGGAAAGAAATTAGCCAACTGGTGATTGAATCAAGTGGCTAAATTTTAATTACACCAAACTCACAGCTCATTTATTCTGTTGCAGCATGTTGAGAATTCAGCCAGAGCTTAAACAGCAGAAAAACAGAGAGCAATGGCAGTTCATCTTCATATTTTGACTATGTTACAGCTTACAAGCTAGTTATGCATCAATATTACATTAAAAAATTACTTAAACTGATTAGAGTGCTTACAATTATGTACTATTTCCAATTTTAGGTAAAATCATAAGAATCCTTTTAATAAACTAACCCTCTCCCCCTTTTCCCCCTTTCAAAGTGAGAGAAAGATTCAGTTTTTCCCCACAGAAACAAGAGGATGACAGATGATTTCATAAAATTCCTATTAGCACACTTGAGTCGAACTTGGATAAAAGTTTATCTAAGGGGTCTTTTATGAGTTAAATTGAGAAAGAACGTTATTCTGGTTAACAAGTCTGCATGTGGTCGTCATTAATCAGAAAAAAGATACATGCTAACTGACACCAAAAGGGGTCCTCTCTTGTGTGCAGGAAGGGTGCAAGACTGGTATTTAAAAAAAAAAAAATACTATCATTCAATGTCCCCTTAGCACACCAGACAGTTTTTACATTAAACTATCCTTCCCCCTTTAATTGCACTTCATAAGCAATATTCCATAAAACATTCTCCCATCTTTTCTAATATCCTTCTATAGCCAGAAAAAAAAAAGTACTCTGTTGAGCTAAACATTGGAGGGTCTATCCAAAACCTTCTAACTACTAATTTTAATATTTTCACCTCTTGCTTAGTAAGAAACTCATTTTAATACTTCTTGGTGTTTAAATTACATACTCAATATTGCTCAAATATTCATTCAAAGATGTTTATCGCTTAAAGGATGTTGGATATGAGAAAAGCTACTCAGAGTTGTATGTCCATGTACGTATCAATAATTTGTAAGATGCTGTCCTGTCCTTCTCCCTCTTTTTCCTAGTCATTTGAAACCTAATGTACCAATCACTCACAAATTCAACCTTCAATAAGTAATGCACTTACAAACATATTATAGAAAAAATATACTCACATGAAGACACAGAAAAATGTTGTCTAGAACTTAGTTACTTACCATCCAACAGCTCATATTCCATTCGTGGAGGAAAAGCATTTTGCAAAAGTTCCATGGCAGACGGCCGACCAGAAGGACTTTGAGACATTAAGCATCGTAATAATGATGCCTGTTCTGGAAAATCAGCTACCCATGCAGCAGGAAGTTCTCCTTTATGTTTCAAATCGGATAAAACAATGTGTCTCTCCATTGCTGTCCCAAACGGATGCCAAAGCTCAAAGAACACAACTCCTAAACTGTACATGTCAACCTGGAAGACAAAACAACTAACAAAAGTTGTATCATAAGCTATGAAGCAGTAAAGTGCCAATAATCTACTAATAAGGTATTTGACTCAATGCTAGGTGCATGCATTCCTGCTCACAGAGCTGGATTTGAATTCCACTTCCCCTTCCCCCCTCTCCCAACAAAAGAGAAAAATGAAAACGCATACTGCTTGAACTAAATAATAAAACCAAAGAAGCTAACATCATTCACCTTCTCATCAATCTTTGGCCATCCCTGCTCAATTTCAGGTGCAGTGTAAAAATAGGTACCAACTTGACCGGTACCATCAACTGAAACTCCAGTTGTATCTATTGGGAAACCACCATCCTGGTCCACCTGCTCGAACCTCAAGAATTTTGCTGAAGCCAGAGAAACGAAAAAACAAATTTTATATGTAATTTTCAATTTTGGGCCAACTAACATGGCTATCACATAATTTCTTCACTGACTAGTAACACTAGCTACTAAATCACACATAAAAAAGCACTAGACCTGCCCCTTTCAAAAAAGCATAATTAAACAAATAAGTAGTAATAAGTTGAAAGAATCTTTTTCAAAAGATCAAACATTCACTTATATTTTGTACACATGCTAGCATTTGCCTTTGGAACATGATATATGATTTAATAGCCTTATTGCTTATAGAAGCTTCCAACATGGAATAATGGTAATTTTTGACGGCAAGTAGTCATCAATCCATTGTAAAGCATAACTTATGAACCTTTAATTCACTTTGGTTCTCTTTTGGCTTATTGTATATTCAACAAGCCAAAAAAGCATTAATGAAATTCATTTAAAATGTGTAATCTGCTTTATTTGGAATTCAACAAACCATGACTATAAACATTATATTAATATGTAAATGAAGATTTACTATAACATTCTTTCAAATGAAATGAGTTCCACTTTTGTCTGGTTCCTTAACTAATATGTAAAATATCCCTTTAAAGCATAAAGGAAGCCAAAAGTTGATTTCCTAATAGAAAATATGTATCTTACCAAGACCAAAATCTCCGATTTTAATATCGTTGCGGGCATCAAAAAAGATATTGTTTGGAGTTAAGTCCCGATGGATAATTCCTTGTCCATGTATGTGTGCCAAGCCTTCCACAATTTGGCGAAACAAATGCCATGCTAATTCTTTGTCAAAATTATTATACGATTCAAAGACTTCACGAAGAGTCCTTCAGACCATAAAAGAAATGAATTTGGGGAGTTAGGAGTAATAAGAACAAAAGAACAAGGGATTTCCCAACTACTTCAATAAAATATGAGTAAGTAATAGACTAACGAAATCATAGAACAGCACGTGAACATATATATACGACAAGCATAAACGACATAAATGCAAATATACATAGCTTTAGTTCTGTACGACAAACCGGTTGATGGTTTTGTATTAATATTATTAATTGGAAAAATTGTGACATTTTACTTTTGAGTTTGAGAATCCTGAATATAATTCATGTACTGCTTAATAAATATATATATATATATGTCTTACGTAATGAGTAATTAGTGGAATAAATATTTATATTTTTATTAGTAAAGTTGTTTATATCTCAAGTTTCAATCACGGGTTTTTCAGTAAAATATCTACTGGCCTGTATTCAATATTATAGAAAAGATTGTTTAACCAGGTTAATATCTTATAATTATAATTTAAAATATCTAAGCAGAAAAATTTGAAAATCAATAGTGCCAACACCACAAATTTATAACATAAAACATATCATCTTTGAAAAATATAAATCTTCAAAACCAAAGCAAATCAAGAATGAAAAATTACATGCAGAAATCAAGCAAATCAAAATCGAAATTAGTCAGCAAGACCAAAATGAAATAAGAAAACAAATACAATCTTTCAAATACTCAAAGACTCTTCCAGAAAATTCCTCAGAAACTGAACAAGAATCTGATCAAGAAGACTTACCAGATTGTTTAATCTGGTTAATCGGGTTAATATCTTAACATCATAGTTACATGTTAAAATTATAATGATAAGATATTAACCAGATTAAACAACCTTTTCTAAATATTGAATACAGGCCATTAGAGATTTTAAAAATTAAATTTGTCTTTCAAATTCAAAATAGAAAGAGGCAAATCTAATCGATTCTAATAAAAAAAAGCATTCAAAAATTCCTGTGCATACATATCTTTTGGCTACGGTTAAATTCAGAAAGGAAAGATAAACTACGAATTTGATATGTTTGAATTCAAAATTTATGTAAAATTTCCCATCTTTGGTAGATTTTGATATTGGTGAATTTGAATACTTTTTTGAATAAAGTTATTGGACGAATAGCATAATTTAGATATTATCCTACATATCAAGAAGATAGGTTGTCCACATAAGTATCCATGTCGGCATTCCTTTTATGTGTGTGTGTGTGCGTGTGGATATCAGTTCAAGAAATGCAGTCTAACATGCAACAGAAGACTTCACATAATTTTCTATGAAAATTTAAAAGGAAAAAAAAAGGATGTTGAACGGAAACACCTCAAGTCAATAACATGGTTCAAGCAGACATATTCAAGAAATCCTATTCAAATAATTTTCCCAAGGAGTTTCTTTTAACTATCCTTGGTGAGAACATAAATTACAAGCACTCTTGCATTACTTCACAAGGATGAAGATTAAAGCAAATATAATTACCAATAATTGATGGTACAATCAACCACATAGTGACATTAAAAGAAAATAACCATAGTATCCAGAATGAAGTTCAATGATTATCTACAGCTTCACATTAGTTCACTTCTTTTATTCTTATTTAAAACAAGAAAAAGAAAGTATAAAAAAAAAATGTAAAGGGTAAGAAGTAGTCATTCAGAATAAGAATTTAGGACTACCAAATAAATAAATAAAACAAAAATAAACGGGATACCTAGGGCAATATTCCATCTGAATATATAGATATGTTGACTCAAGTTTGTTCTCCTGTCCAGGGACATCAGTCAAGCCTGCGCCCTTACTGAAGGTGGAGCTTGTTGCAGTCCCTGAACCCCATGCAGTATCACCAGAAGAACTAGCAACTCCTGTTTCCAACCATGCCTGGAAGTTTACAAATATTTAGAACTTCATAGATGGCCAAGTGGGTGCAATTATTTTCCTAATTTTGAATCAAAAATATTTCTTTTCTTCCTTTTCCTAATATCTTTCCCATGGTTAACACAAATTAGGCTGTCAACTTATTACCTTTCTATAAGACCTACTTAAGAAAGAACGGTTAAAGATTGTTGGTAGAGAATCAAGAAATTCAAAAGTTGCAGAGAGAAGCAAAATGGTAAAAGGCTCTTCAGCCTTACCTGATAGTAACGGACAACATGCTGATGCTGTAAACGGGAAAGTGTAGCTACCTCCCTAAGTACCTCACCAGTCAACATTATCGATGCATTAGCACAAATTAAAAGGTATCAAGCATGGTAAAAGATGGAAGGTATTGCACTTAAACAAATATATAATACAGATTAGAGCAAAAATTCAGATACTGAGAAAGTAAACAAAATATGGTTTTCAAGTAAGCAAAGCATTAAACAATTGTATCAAAATTTGATGCCATAAAGCAATGTCTTAATGAAAAAGGTGATTAACTACAGATATAATGTTGGAAGATAATGCCAATTGGAAGCAAGAAGGATAACCAAAAAAAATGTGTCAGAAGTGAAGCATTCATTAAGCATGCAAGATCATGCTGATTACATTTTAAGAAAGGAAAAAGAGAAAAGAAAAAGGCTACACCAGAGAGATCTATGCCAGTCCATGATTAATCTTCTAAATAAATGCAACACAAGTTGACCAAACCCTAAGTCTGAAGCTGACAACAGAAACAAGGGTTAAGAAGACTTGAGTACTCCTATGCACCAAATCGCACCAACATTGCCAACATCTCCATTATATAGCTTGTTTATATTGAGTACCATGACAGTATTAAAGAAACAGAGACAACAATAAACCTAAGGTGTGAATGGAGGTTGCAAATACAGCAGATTAAGAAACTAAAAGCAAAGACAAAATCCAACTGACAAATACTCACAGCATAAATCCGTTTGCTAGAAACGTAAACATCAGCAATTTGGAAGCACCTTAATTATGAGTTCTTTTAATAAGTGATAATTTGATACGGTCCCTTGAAACGAATCAAGTTATGGGATGGTGTGTGGAAGGGTTTGGTTTAGTTTGAGGTATGCTAGGTACTTGGGTGGAAGGTTTCTTTTTTCAACCTATGTTTGTAGTGCTGGCTCGTTAGAGAGAACCTGCAGATCTCTTGAGTTTTAAGTACTCAAAAACTTGAATAGATACTGAACAACCCTCTTTTATTAACTTCACTCCTTTTTTAACTACAGCTTGGTGGAATAACCACCCTCAAAGCAAGAAAGTGGAAAGGTGAAGACACAACCTCCAATAACATGAAATAGAAAACTACCACTAACAATAAAATAGGGTGGAGACACAACCTCCCACAACATGAAATGGAAAACTACCATTAACAATAAAATAGGAACCACAATGAAACTGTTAACAATAAACTGCCAGCAACCAATCATATATGTTGATTTAGTATATACTTCCCATGGGTGAATCGCTTGTAAACTAAGGGATTATCTGATGTGCTAACATAATTACAACACTTAGCATCTTTAGAAGTACATAACTGTAACCCTCTATTTAGAGTGATGGTATAAGAAACAAAGTTACCTCAAGATTCGATCATTAACAGGCAGGTTTTTGTCCTTAAGGCCAATTTTCTTCACAGCATACTGTCTTCCATCTAGCTTATTTTTGCACAATACAACATGGCCAAACCCACCATGGCCTATTACCATCAAAAGAAGAAGTCTAAGTAGTCCTAAAGTTTACAGAAAATTAAGATAATTTGGTAAATGAAATGCTACACACAGCTTAAAAGAAAACAAAACCAAAACAGATCTAAGAAGTCCATAAAATAAGCATTATATCAGGTGAGGTTTGTAAAACTAAAATATTGACAAGGAGAGGTAGAAATATTGAATTACATAGCAAGGCTGAATGCCCCTTGGGCTTCACTCAGGCGGTAAGGTGAAAGGGGTTTTTAGGTAGAAATCCTAGGTTCAAGATGTTGTACCAAAAACAGAAAAAACGAAAGACAGAAAGATAAATAGAGAAGTAGCATCCAGAATCCAGCATTGCAATAACAAGGATTCCAAGCAAGTAAGGTCCACTATTTGTGGAGGCCATTTTCATTGTGCACAAATACAACATTACCGCTATTCCTGTGCAGGTCAATGTGAAAACTTCAAGAACTTTCATCACTTGAAACATGAATATGTTAACCTGATCAACTATCCAATATCCAAAGCAAAGCCATTACACCTCTACAATTTAGTTCTAAGATCAAACCAGGATCACCAATATATTTCTTCAACGGGAGAAACAGATGCATACGAAAAGGTATAATGGAAGATATGTAATACCAAGGGATTGTAGCTCCTCAAAGTCATTGAGATATCGAGAGCTTGGGAGAGATGCACTTTCCACCCCCAAATCAGAAGCAGGTTTCCAAAATGCAGAAACTTTGGATGAAACCTGAATAAATGTATAAAAAATTATAATGAGAATCAGAATTGGGGCTCATTGCCAAAATATAAGGAAAACAATAAAGGACAAGGAACAATAAGTGATAACCATATGCTGACGGAAAGCGTGATCAAAGGTTTTATTGAACAATGAAGATGATTTAAAAGCTAAATCCTGCACCCATTCTGAGAACATCTGAATTCAAATCATCAGAGAATCACCATTTAATAAAGCAAGCAGATTTCGAATATTTTAAATCTAAAGACAATCGTACTTTTGTTTTCCTTTTTCCAACAAGCAGAATGGTATTAATGACATACACCTAGGTTGTACAGCTCTGTTATAATCTGTGGCAGCGAATCACTTAATGGTCCTTTAGAAGCACAAGCAAGGCGAAGCAGATAAACCTACGCTTGTAAATGAAAATGTATTAGACAAAGTTGTCCCTTAAAGCAAATTAAGTTTACATGCTGAAAAATAAGAGAATTGAGAAAATGTGAAAAAGTTACCATCATTAGATCTTTTTCAATGGCTTCTGATGCACGATTATCAGCTAAGGATGCAGAAGATAAGGACTCCCAAGGCTCACTTTCAAGATCCCCATCATCATCCTCTGTTTCCTCAAGAACAATATCCTACAAAATTAACTAATGCCTATGTAATATTCCACATAGAACTAAGCCATGAAATAAAAATGATTTCGATTATTACAATTTGGTGTTAAATGGTCGCCCATTCTTTAATCTTGTCAATTTGAACTTTCTTTAGGTGCCAAATTTAAGAACTAGCACCTAAATTAATTTAGTTTTACAATTTCTAAATCAATGTATCTCCATTCTTGTTCCATCTTCTTTTAAAACAACTTTTCTTTATTGTACTTTGTGAAAAAATTTCCAAACCTTCATTTTTGCCTTTTGAAGTGCTAGAAGCCCTAGAATTCTTGCAGTTACTTATCTCATGTCTTCAGACTAACAAGTTTCACATTTAATTTTACATCAGAATAGAAACAATAGCATTGTTCCAGCCTGCTTGGTTTTAAGCCCTCTTGTCCAGAAATAGTTATCCATTCACTTGCATAAGAAGGACAAGAATAGAGATTCCACACAATGATGCTATTAAATCATAAGGGCTTTGACAAGGTACTTTGTCATAAAATATATCTAACACTTTACAAAGCCCATATCAGTCATTTCACTAAGGATCCTACTCAACTTGTACAGGCTTCTTAGACACATAGTCCTGTGACTTTTACACAGTCACCTACACGTGATGCTGATACAGTTTGCTATGATTGGACCTTCTCTCCAATTTCTTGATCTTTGGTCTCTATTATATAGATATTTACTCACGCATCATACTTGTTTCACTATTTTATGGATATTTACTCCCCCATGATCCTTGTTTCACAAGTAATTTATGCTTCTCATATTCTCGTGACACAGTGTTCCATACAATACAGGCAATAGGGGGGATGAAGACAACACCCAGGTTATGAAACAAGATGAGGATATATTCAAGTAAGATCAGTTATTATCAGGATTAGACAAGCTCTGACATTATAAATAGGAAAGCATTTACAAGAAAAAGAATTATTTTGTGCACAAATTTTCAAAAGTATGTGAATTTTAAGAAGACATATAAAGCAGGAAATGAAAATGGTCTGCAATACTTCAAGATCTATTCACTCAATTGAAAGCAATAAATTATAAATATGCATTCTTCACTCAAATTCAAATTATCATTTTCCTTCCTTCTAATTTTAACAGGATGCAAAATGGACCGGAAGAGAGAGAGAGAGAGAATTTATTTTTCATCTATATATTGAGGGGGACCTTCTCACCTCCCCCACCCATCAGCTAGGATTTTATGAAAGTCATATATTTAAACTATGGAGCAAAAGCAATAATACCGAACAATAAGTATCTCTGTAATCCAATTTCAGCATATAGTTATGAGAAATTAGATTTTTGTGAGCATGTAAAAACTTCAAGGAATGTTTTCTACTATAGCTACGTTAGGTAGCAGAAATAAAAGTTAAATAAGAATGCTAGAGGTAAAGATGCTTTAAAATATCAAAAACCAAGCCAGTATGACTTACCTCCTTCTCACCTTTCATGCCATTTCTACCCAAGTTCTCCATTAAAAAATTGCTTGAATCAGCAGTAGATATGCTCTTACTGTCATCTTCACTTTCTTCTTTAAGGTTATCCAATTTTGCAACAGGTAAAGGTGACAGAACTTGCTTTTTTTCTTGCATTGCCAATGACATTGGATTCTTTTCAAGTTTCTTTTCTCGAACATTATATCCCAGTTTTGAACCATCTGATAGATGTGACTGTACAGCAGAAACTATACCTCTGTTTTTGTCCATATCCAAAGGCCAATTCCATGACTCTCCAGATCCACTGAAAAGATCTATAAAACCATAAACAAAAGGCCCCCTAGAAGAGCAACTCTTGTTACTTGAAATTGCAGCATCCTTCTGGAGCAACTGGCCACTGCTTCCTGTGGTTGAATATAAAAGCTTCAAAGAAGAAAGGATAAATCAAGACAGGATACGTAAATAGTTAACATGCTTTATCTTATAAAAGACTGAACATAAAGCCCAAGTCAACTATGTCTTAATTCCAAAGGTTGCACTTGGCTTCACTAAGCCATTTTGTCTGTTCCATTCAATTAAAGGTTACATCCCATGAAGGATGAAAGGAAGCTACGTCTTCTATTTTTTCTTTTTAAATGACCTCAACTCATGTTATTTTTAGTCTATCAGTACCTCTTTTAGTTTATCCAACTTGGCACAGATCAATCTCACATAACAGAGTATCCCTAGGTCTAAGTTGCATATGATCTAAGTTGCCTCTCCCTTAATTAATCCTAAATAGGTGCCACCTCTACCTTCTTATAACTAATATCTTATTTGGTAGGGCTAGGAATCTATCCTAACATCCTCATTTCAATTAAATTATTTGTGGAGATGTCATTTTACCACCCAACATCCAGTACCTATTATAAAGCTGTATATGATGGCTATTTCACCAAATTTTCCTCCAACCTAGGCAATCACTCATAGTCGGACGATATCCATGCAGCACTTCTCCATTTTCCTGCTCTAATCCTATGCTGAAATATTGACTTAAGGTTCTTCCTTACGGCCTAGGGTCATCACAAATCAAACATAAATACTGAAACAATCACTTTGAGGAACTTCCTACTTATTTATTTTAACTCTATCTTCCTCTCTAGTTTTAGTTTTAGAAAACTTATACTTTATATTCAGCTTTGGTCCTCCCTAACATAAAATTTTCAAATTCAAAACTACTCCTCCCACCTTACTCACATCTACTAAACTATATCATCCAAACATAGTATGAACCAAGAAATATCAGCTTGAATATTCCAAGAAAGTTCATCCATCAATAAAGAAAAGAGATAAGAGTTTAGACAGATTATAGAACTGTAATAGGAAAGTCACTACCATCACCTCACTGTTTGTTAGAATTGAAACTACTTCCTTATACATATCTTTATCTTCACTCATACTCCATGTTTCTCAAACCAAAGGAGTAGATATTATTAAATGAAAAAAACAAAAAAAGGAATAGATATTTATTTCAGAGAGAAAAGATCCCCACGTCCCTCTTGGCAACAAGAAAAAGAAAATTCATATAGAGATCTCCATAAACAACAAACTTATATTTTGAAAGTCATTCAAACAAACAAAGAAAACATGTTATATAAACAACTTATGGTCCAAGAAGGTATTTACATGTTAATTTAGAGCAATACCTCAAACACAATCAATAAATGAAAACCATAGAAAAAATTAAAGTTCAATATGTTAAAAAGAGACAAAATCACATAAAATTATCAAGTATATAGAAGACATCATTAAGCACAACATGGATGGTAACTGTGACAACTTAAGCAAGGGATACAAGGAACTGCTCATGAAACCAAACTAAAGGAATGAATTTGGATCAATAAAAATAAATGGCAAGAAGAAAAAATGAAACACTAATTATTATAGAGGACAAAAGCATACAGATTCATGTGACTGAGCCACCGGAACAATTTCTGACAGGAACTCTTGAGCAGCTTCCACCAAATTAAAAATCATTACTCGTCCTTCTCGCGCATTAGCATTTGCCTGGAAAAAAGCAAGTAAAGAAAATAGTGGTCACTAAGTTTACAACATACCAAGCAAAAAACAGAGCACAAAATGGTTATGCTTGTACAACATAAATTCTGAATTTCTATTTTTGATAAATATGCAACATGCTCTTAGGGGAAAATAATCTGCACTAACCCAAGCTTCTAGAATGATAAAGACAAAGTGCTACCATTTATTATCACAGATTATCAGCATTATTTATTACTGTCACCAGCAGAGCTTTTATGAAATAGATAACAATACAAGTCAATCCATACCTGATCATTAAGCAGAGACAAAAGATTATCAGCCTCGCTTTTTGTCAGGCCTTTCTCTGGAGTGATCTGCAACTTTGGGCACTTATAAGGATAACCCGGCAAGCACCTGATAAACAAGTAAAAGAAAAAATGAAAAGAATACATATGTTGATGTAAAATGAAACATAAAACAATATTCATCAATAATTTAAACTTACCTAACTAAGAGGAAAGCAGAAACATCAAGATCCTCATAACCCATATCCTTCGAGTAAGGCCTGTTCAAATTTCATAATTAGCAAACTAAGATTAGGAAAAGTAAGAGCTCACCTGACAAGTTCGATACAAAACAAAAATAGCAAAAACCTGAGCTTAATAATGATTTCCAGAGGTGACCCAGAGACAACTTTGCAGTCTTCCTGAAATATTGCACACCTAAAAATACAGAAATTTGAAATAAAATACAATTCTATGTGCCTAAAAATTCACTACTTCAAATTCCTAAAACAAAGAATAATTGCAAACATGCTATGTAAGAGTAAAAAAAATTTCAAAAGAGCCCCTCAATTTATAATTGAGGGATATGTCAATAAAAGTGGGTTATTCTTTTAATGGAAATACTATAAGAGTTCAACATGTTAATGCATAATTCAGTGCATCATAAATTAATAATGCATTTTTAGGGGTAAAAAAACAACTAAATCAATATATAAAAATATATATATAAATGTATATATTATTTAAGATATCAAAATCAAACAATACTAAATTTAGTGTAAAGAACTTTAACCATAAGCACAAATCTATCTAAATTTCTTAAGTTCTATAATCATTGTGTGAAAATTTATAATAGGTCTCCAATCTATAATGATATTGGCAATAGGTGAGCGGCCTTTCCCGCGTTTAAGTATCCAGAATACTGAAAATTTAGTCGACCCATGATATACTAGTATCACGACTTTAAAACTTTCAACCAACATAAGCTCAATAAGACCCTTAATCTTTTCTCAACCTCGACTAACCATTCCCAAATTCTACCAGTAGTCCTCCAAAATTTAACTATCAAATCAATATATCATTGGTCACTATGCCCTATTTAAGATCATATCTATTATCCTCAGTAAGTTTAGTACAAACGATGTCTTTTTGTTATATAGTTTGAATGCAAAGATTAAAAAGGCGCACTGAGAAATGGATTGAGAGGGGAAAAAATTATTGATAACATACAGAGCAGTGATCTCTTCAGAAAGAAGCTCATTATCATCTCCATCATGAGAATTATGATCTTTCAGAGAAGCCCTTCCTTTACTCCTCCTCCCTCCTCCTCCTCCTTTCTTTTTCTTTTTTGAACCCATTTCTCACATCTAATCATCCAAAAGCCAAACAAGGCCTTAATTCCTATATGGATCTTTGATAAAACCCCAGATGATGATGGGTTTTATTTATTTGAAGTTTAAGGGGGGAAAAAGTTCGTAATAAGAGAAGAAATGTACACAAGATGGGACAGATTGGGTGGAAATGGTGGCTGGGCGCTGAAGTCCCGGTTTTGAACACAGAGACGTAAACTGAAAGATGTTAGACGGCAGCTTCCTCACCTCGACTAGTACAAAAAAATATTTATAAAAAATATATATTTATATTAAAATATAATGTAAAAATAAAATTTTCATAATATTTTTAAATAAAATTAGCAAAAGTAAAACACAAATTTATCAGAAACGTCGTACCAACATGATCTGTTCCAAAAAAATTCATCAAATGAGTAGATTAGTAATTTATTTCATATTTATTTTATTTTTTTATATAAACCAATTAATGAAATGGTTACGAAGGATATTTTAGAAATATAAAAAAATTTGTTTATATTAGCTTTGTACTCAAAATTAAAATAATTTAATATCTTAATTTTAAAAATTATTTTAATTTAATCTTTTTCATTAACTATATTCAATTTTATCATTAAAAAGATGACATCAGTGTTAATATAGCATATTTTGATGACATGACATTCATATGATGATTTGGCATGTCACGTGATACCAACTTGATGATATAATAGTACCATATAACTTAATATGATGATATGATAATGTTAACGTGACATTGATATATCATATAATAGATAAAAAATATTTTTGTATCATGTTATAGGGGTTAAATTAAACAAAAATATGTAATACAATAATTAAATTGAACAAAATTGAGATATTAAAAGATTAAATTGAAAAAAATTTAAAAATATAAATATTTAAGTAGATAGTATATATACTTATTAATAAGTTAAATATTTAAATGTAAAATATTTATAGTGTTAAACAATATAAAAAATTCATACTTAATTATTTGATTGTAAAATATGTACATTAATTTTTTTTTGTAAAAATTAAGTTTGAATTCTCTTTGTATAAAAAAAATAAAAAAATATATATTTAAAATCAAATTTAGATGAAAAACTTACATTATATTAGATGAAGAAGAAATATATAAAGTTAATGATAATTATAAAAATAATTTTTGTTCTAGCTTGCTTAATTTGAGCATTACAATCCTCTTATTACAGCTATAGAATTTGAGTTACTCCACCTCTTTAATTTTTAATTTATTTTTATGTTCTTATTTTGTTTAATATTTCAAGTTATATTCTTTAAGTTGAAATTTCTTGAATTAAATACTACATTTATAGTTGATAGAGTTAAATATAATTAAAAATATTTATACAATTTTATTTTGTATTTACAATTTTTTTTAAATCCAAATTAATAATGTAAATTTAAATTTAACATAATTTGATTGAGGTATTTAAACTTAAATAAAATTGTTCTATAAGAAATATTGAGTAAATTCAAATAAAAAATGAATTAGGTAAAGGTTAAATAATTCCAAAAGAATGAATAACTAAATTAATCTATTTTGCTTATTTGAGTTTAGCTTAAGTCAAATAAATTTTAAAATTTTATATTATTATAAATAAAAAATTATTTAATATTTTTATATTATTTTATTATAATATAGTGTAAGTTATTCATCTAAATTTAACTTTAGGTATGAATTTTTTTAAAAAAAATTTATAAAAAGAAAATTCAAACTTTATTTTTAGAAAAAAGATAAATTAATGTGTATATTTTAGAATCAAATAATTAAGTATGAAAATATTTATCTATATTTTTTAATATTATAAATATTTTTTATTTAATTATTTAACTTATTATTAAGTATATCTATCATCTACTTAAATATTTATATTTTTTTAATTTTTTTAATTTATTCCCTCAATATTTTAATTTTATTTAATTTAATCTATATACTATATATTTTTATTTAATTTAGTTCCTATAATATGACACACAAAATTTGTTTTAAAAATTTTTTTATTTACAATGTAGCCATGTTAGCATTATCACGTCATCATATTAAGGCCACGTAACACTACCACGTCATCAAAATATGTTACGTCAATACTGATGTTAGTGTTGATGTTATCTTTTTAACGGTAAAATTAAATGTCATTAGTAGAAATGATTAAATTGAAGTAATTTTTAAAATTAAATAATTAAATTACTTTGATTTTGAGTATAGAGATTAAATTGAACAAAATATATGAATATAGAGACTTTGTAGATATTTTGACAAAAAAGAATAAATCCACATATGTTTTGATATCAATAGTAATAATTATATTTAAATGCTATTTGTTAGTAAATTTTTAATCTTAAATCACAGTTCTCAAAATGTTAAATTTAAATTATTAATAATTATTGACTTAAAACGCTTATATAAATATTTATAATTACATTCACATCTTATGTAAAATAAGAAATAATAAATCAAATATAAAAATGCATAAAACTTTATGCTCAACTTACAAATTTCTTTAAAAGAAACAACAAAATTATAAATTTATTCGGTTTTATCCAAGTCTATTCCAAATTTCGAAAATTAGATCCTAACAATTTTGTTATAAAGCATTAATAGGTTTTAGTTTGAAATAATCATAATAATATGGTCATTTTTGTAATTTCACTACTATGATAAATTTTTTTTCCTATTAATAAGCTTTTCAATTTTTTTTTTGAATTCAAGAGAGTCTATTTAAATTACCATGATATAATATCATTAGGTTAAATTATTTTAATTTTGGAAGATCATGTAACAATCCCATACTAACAATCACTGTAATATTATTGTAAATATTCTATAGAGAAGAGAGTAACAAAATATGTAATAATTTCAATAAAATCAATTTTAATAATTTAATAATGACATTTTTTATGATTCTTATTACTTTTTCAATATATTTTATACATATAAAAGTAAATACGTAGAAAGTATAATTTTTCATAAAAACTTTTGAAAAAGTTAGTTTCCATTAAGAACTGAATACTTTATTTTACTCTATGCTCATTTTTACTCAAATATTTTCTATCACATATAAAAACCAGTAAACTATATATATATATATATATATATATATATAAAGAATGTGAGTGAGATTTTAAATGATTTGAAAGATATTTTGGTCCTATGTTGTACTTTTGTCCTGGTATTTTGGATGGTATACAAATAAGTAAATTTATTAAAATGGCACATGGGTATTAAATTATAATAAAATAAATAATTATTAAATATATATTAATAATTTTATTTGAAAATTTTTAAAATTTTATTGTTGATATATAAAATAATAGTTTTATTTCAAATATATATATTAATAGTTCTAAGTTGTCAGTGTATTTTGCAAAAAATTTTAGTCAAATAGCATAATTTTATTTTTGTTTTAGTATTTACTTAGTGATGTTATTTTATGCAGGAAAATAATTATTGGCAAAAAATTGGCATAACAAATTCTTTCAAAATGTAAAATAAAATAATATAAATAATAATAATAACAACAATAATAATTAAAAAAACCTTCAAAACTAAGCTGAGTTCATGAGGAAAAATCATCTTATATCATTTATAGCATAATGGTTGAAATAATTATTGAAATATTTTAAAAAATTTAAATAAATTTTAACGTTCAATTAAATTTATTCATTTTTATTATAAATTAAATAGATTTTTTATAATTAATAATCAATTATTTATTATTAATAAAAATAACGAAATTATCACATATTAATATAAGCGCATCAAATCAATTTGACAGATAAGTGAAAAATGAAAAATGTTGTTTTGATTAATTATAATTAATCAACAAGTAATAATAAAAACTTATTTGATTAAAATTTTTAAGCATTATGGTTTTTTTTACGGAAGTAATTCATATTTAATTAAGAACAAACAAAAGTAGCCGCTCGGCGCTAACCGCAAAAACTTGCTTCGGTGCTCGGCGGTGTACATTAAACTTTCCCGCTTTTTTCTCTCCTCAGTCCTCACTCCTCACCCACCAACTCAGGTATCGTTTTCACTATTTACTTTTTCGCTAAATAATTTCGTCTTTTACTTTTGTTTTTCTTTTCCCTTTCAAATTTCAGCCGTTTCATCTTCTTTTCTTCATTTTTCTTGTATCCCGCTAGGGTTCAAGAGCAATCTGAAAGGTTCTTTTCTGTCGAATTTAAATTTTATGCAAAGGAAACGATGATTTGAAGGATTAATTGTTGGTTAGAAATCAAAATGCATGAATATGTTAGAATAGGCTTTGTCGTTTTAGTCATTTGTTTATCTTTCAACAAATAATGGTTTTGCTTTATCAAAAATTTCGACGAAGCAAAAGGTAAATAAAATAAATAACAATTTATGGGATTCGTAATTAAATTAGGGTTTAGGAACATCACATTTTTGTTGTTGGAATGAATTCTGTGGCTAGTTTTCTTTTCCTGGAAAGTTGGGGAAAAGAATTGGTTCGGCTAACTAACTTTGGAATTTAAAAGGTCAGCATTCCTAGTTTTCGATCCGTGAATGGGGTCAGCAGAGCAAGACGAGTATGCTGCCTTTGAAGAGAAAGTAAGGCGGACGGTTTACATAGACAACCTGTCACCGAATGTCACTGAATCTGTGGTGAGAACTGCCCTTGATCAGTATGGAACTGTCAAGAGTGTTCACTTCATTCCGAACTATCTAGAGCCACAGAACATCCCCCAATGTGCTTTGGTGGAGATGGAAACACAAAAGCAAGCTGAAGTTGTCATCTCAACAATATCTCAATTCCCTTTCATGATGTCTGGAATGCCAAGGCCTGTGAGGGCACGTGCTGCTGAAGCGGAGATGTTTTCTGATCGCCCTAGGCAGCCTGGTAGAAGGATACATTTCCGCTGGTTGGACCCTGCTGATCCTGATTTTGAGGTTGCAAACAAGCTGAAGCATCTTGCAAAAAGACATGCTACTGAAACTGCAGTGATGCTCAAGGTAAATTTGCCTTCTTGTTCAATAGTCGTTCTATTTAAATTAAGGTGTATAAATATTGTTTTTTTCCTAGTGAACATGTTCATTTGTTGCTCTTTAGCACCAACTGGAGAAAGAGGAGAAGCTTGCGAAGCAGCAAGGAGAGGCTCTGAAAGCAAATTACAAGAAGTATGAGATGATAGATAGTTTGATGGCTGATGGAACTGCTCAACGTTTGGCACGGCATTATAATTTGAGAGTTTCAGATGACTCAGGCCCTTCTACCTTTCACTGACAAGTAACCAATATATGCACTAATGTAAGTAGCTGTGCTCTTTGGGCATGTGTTAAATACTTTGAAACATGTGGATATCTTTTCTTTTCCCCTAATTTTAGGTGCAATTAGATTTTGTTCATGTGATCTTTTCATATCATCTGATTGTCAAATTCCTGAAAATTTTCATGCTAGATAAGCACAAAATCACAACTATAATATACTCAGAGTATGTCCCATATAGGTAATATTGTCATCAAACCAATGCCATGAGTTTGAGTTAATTCAAAAATTGTGATACATAAAAAGCATAGATAGTTCTCATTCTTGATTGATGATTTGCCAGAATCAGGGCTGTGCATGCTTTCTCTCATCCTTTGAAGAGGCAATGCAGTGTAAAACTCCTTCATTTAACCTTTCCCCCTCCTTACCTGTATCCTTAAAGCATTGGTAAGGATTCTTTCATCTTGTCAAAAATTTGATTGGGGGAAACAGGTGGCAAGTGCCTATTCAATTTGATTAGCTGATGTAAAAACAAGGTTTAACTTTACTAATTTATCAGCATATGATATTGTCATATATCATAATGATTATAAGTGACAGTGTAATCAAAATTCTTTAAATTTTGGAATGGGGTTTTACCTTTGATGCAATTAATGGTTGATGTCTACAAAGGATGCTAACCTATATGGGATTGAAAATTCTTAGGTGTTTGGATAATGTTGGATGCTGTTCAATTAAACTGATTCTTATTGGCTTTGATTAATGTTTTATATTTATCTTTCTTTGGGTTGAGAGGGGGAATTTGAACTTGATATCTCCTTTTTAAAGGCATGGTTGCTGATAGGCTATTGTGTTGGCCATCGTGAATATTTTGTTAAAGTAGATTTCTATTTAGAAGGAAGACAAAAAAACTTATAACGCGTTCAATATGTAAATAGCTCTGGAAAGCAACAAATTTCAAAGACAACCCCAGTGAGTGTCAATCATTGTTCACCCTTTCTTTAGCCCGATCTCCTCTATTTCAAATCTTTTCAAAATTAAAATCCTCATTTCTGTGATATTCATGCACATATATCATCAAACAGAAACAAGTGTGCGTATCATTGAAAAGTTTGGGCTTTTTGAGTTGAAATTGTGGTTGATTTGGTGAAGATTTGCAGATAGTTTGAGCATAAGTAAGGTTTGATGGCTTTTATGAGTTTTGGTTGGGTTTTTGTGTCTGTCTGGTGGGATGATACTGGGTTAGGTACTTAATCTGTAATTTGATTTTCTCAAGATGTTTTATCTGCAAATGAGTGTTTACTTGAAAATTTAATTAGTTGCTTTGCTGTAATTCTCTTTGTTTGTATTAAATTTGTTCATGAGTATGATTGAACCAAATAATGTACATTTTGGCCACTGGTGACGGCCTTTTGATGCTTTATCCCTTTATATACTATAGTTGTGATGCTTACATTTGTACTATATTTGTATATTAATACTTTAAGAACACGTGAAGAAATTTTGCCTGTGTTTAATTTGGTTCTTTTTAATATTAAATATGATCACGATACGAATAATATTCGTATCTTAAATTTGAATAATGTATATATGTACGTTTAATAATTATGTAACACGACACAATAAGATAAACACGTTAATATACAACACGACATGATTAATAATACAATTAATACGTTTAATACGATTAAATAAAAATATATATAATTAAACTTAATTTTATTATTTAAATTTAAAATCAATAATTATAAAAATAATTATGACAAAACAAAATAATAATAACATCAAATTTAATAAAATTTAACTTACATAAAATTCATTAATCATTAATCATATCATCAACTATAAATAATTTTAAACGCTATAGCAAAATCAAATTCATTCAGTAGTGTCACATCATTCTAATGTCACAAAATCTAATAATGAAATGGAAACAATATATGAATAAAATTAAATCAAAAGATTTAAAATGGTAACAAAGTAAAAATTCATTTGGGCATGAAATAATTATATTATTATTTTTATATAAAATTTTAAAAATTTATTAAAATAATTATTTAAAATTATTTAAATAAAATTAAAATAATTTTTAATAAGTTGATAAACGTATTATGTATGCACATTTAAACATGATAATGCGATTAATTAAACTTGTTACTTATGTCGGACACGAAATATGTCAAGATTAAATCTAAATTTGTTTAGTTTTATGTTTTCTCGTATTGTATTATTATATCTTATGCAAAATTACTAAGTCTACTGGAGATTCTGTTTGAAACTGTCGGCCTAAAAAGAACTTCAAAATTGAAGGAATGAGCCACCCATCAATGGCGACTACACGGAAGTAGTTGTGTGTAGAAACGACTAGCCCTCCCAAAAATGGATAACTCCGTGAATGCTCCTTTACACTCCATTTTCTGCCTCTCCCCCCAAAGCTCTTTTAGGTAGTTTAAAGGAGTGGGGATTCTAAATTTAGACCTTAGCCTTAGCCCTCCTAAGAAGAGTTAACAACCGTTAGGCCTAGCTTTATTTGTTAGCAATTGCATTTAGATAATCTTTGGACAATAAATTTCACATTTTTGCTCTTTCTGGAATAGTATTATGTTAAAGAGTATTTAAGCATTCAATTTAATAATAAGTGTATAATGTTTTTTCGGATTTGAAATCTTAAAAAATAAATAAAAAAACAATTTGTTAAAGGAAATAAGATTTAAATTGATAAAATTTAGCCATTACTAGTAAATGGAAGAAAATAGGACCTATAAGTGATTCGATCATCATATTATTAATATATCACAGCTATTTTAATGCGTAAATAAATCATCTGAAATCTATAAATACTCATTATTAATTAGTTACAGATATTGTTTTTAAATTTTTTGCAACAAATTAATATTTGGGCAAAGAAAAGTGCTTTTCATTGCCTTTTTATTCTCATTATTTTAGAATTATGAAGAGCACAACAAACGAGAAATAAGTTATTGTTTTGAAAACTGTTACCATATAAATCTTTTTTTTAAAAGATTTATACAATTCTATTATGTAAGAAAACATTAATTATGTGAAGGCCAACAGCTACGGCCCAACCGCTCTATACCAAAATGGCTAATCCCTTGGTGGGGACAGGTTCAAATGTTTTGACTCCCTTTTGGTTGGTTGTTTTAGTTTGTGGGTTTTTTTGGAGTTAATTAATAATTAGCTACACCTCGGGGATTAGACTTGTACCCCAAATTCTATGACAATTTGACTCATTATGTCTATTAATGTTTTGGGGGTACTTTGGGTTATAGTTAGGGCTTGAGTTACAATACTGTTAACTTTCAAATTTATTTTATGAACAAAGATTAATAGGTTCATATAAAAATTTAGATTAAAATGTGAGAGATAAATTTGTTTATGGTGAGATTTGAATAAAATTTTAAATTTGTTTGAACTATAATAGTTTTCTTTTGTTAAAAAGAAAAAAACTTTTGCTTAAAATTTCCTTTAAATAATTAGATCAAATTGAGTTCCATTCTTGAATTCTACAGTTAACAAAAAATGAGTCAATGTGAAGATATATATATCAATATCTATTGCCTATTAATCTCAGATAGACATAGGGTCAACAAAATTTGTTTTGAGTCCCTTCATTGCCATCGTCAATGAAAGCTAGTATAATCAAATTGAAGGAGAGAGAGAGAGAGAGAGAAAGGGGGATATAGCCTCACCCTGAGCTGGCCAATCAGAATGCTGCATTGTATTACTCCAGAATCCTGATGGCCTGTTTCTGTTCCCTCCTCATTCATATCTTATCTTCCATCAAATAAGGCCCATAGGTACTCCAAGCCATCACATTCCTCTCTGTCACCCCTTTATCACAATCCCACCGCACTCTTAAATCTCCCTCTATTCCCCCATCCATCCTTATCAAACCAAAATATGACCACAAACTCTCTAAGATCCCTCCATCATCCCCACTGCTCTTCCCTCAAACGCCTCTACACCTCAGAATCCATCCCTCCTCCTCCTTCCTCCCTCTTCATCAGACCCTTCTCCTCCTCCTCCTCCACCAACAATCTTTCCTCCACCACGACCTTCTCTCTCTCTTCTACCACCTCTTCCACTTCCTCTACCACCTCCACTTCCCAACCTATCTCCTTCGACACCCTCCAGCACCACCTTTCCACTCAGAACTTCCGCCACGCTGATGAAGAGACACGGAGTCTCCTCATAGTCCTAGCTGGGGAAGCAGCTCAGAAACGTGGCTATGTCTTCTTCTCTGAGGTCCAGTTCATCTCTGAAGCCGACCTTAAAGCTATCGATGACCTCTGGAAGCAGTACAGCAACAACAGGTTCGGATACAGTGTTCAAAAAAGATTGTGGCAGAACGTTAACAAGGACTTCACCAAGTTCTTTCTCAAAGTTGGGTGGATGAAGAAGCTTGACACCGAGGTTGAGCAATACAACTACAGGGCTTTCCCGAATGAGTTTATCTGGGAACTCAATGATGAAACACCCGAGGGTCACTTGCCATTGACAAATGCTCTAAGGGGAACACAGCTGCTTAACAGTATTCTTAGCCATCCAGCTTTTGAGGGTCAGGAGGATGAAGAAGAAGAAGGTAAAGTTGGTGGAGAAGATGGGGCTGTCGAAGGTTTGAGAGATGGATCCAAGCCACTCAGCAACAAATTTTTCAAACCAGACTATAGCTTTTGATCAGTTTTTTCCCAAAGTTTTAGCAAAATACACTGTAAAACTTGAATTGGAATTTCAAAATAAATTAATCAATGTCTGTAATGATCATAAGTGGTTTATGATTACTGCTTCTTTTTACAGGGATGATTTCTTGTCTTTCTTTTTTTCCTTGAAAGCTTTCCTCACATAATTTCCAAGTGGCACAGTGGCTTAGTAACCTTTTCTGTTTGAAATATTAAATGTAGGAGTTGGAGTTAAAGGCAGTCATTGGTCATTTGATCTTTAATGCTATTCTGAGAGAAGGATGATGGCAAACAAAAGACTGACTTGTTTGTTTTTTTGCCTGTTCTTCACTGTGACTTTTTTCTTTTGATTTGATCGAGGGTACTTGTTTGAGAAAGAAAGAAACTATGGTTAGGGTTGGTGAAGGAAAAGCAAGTATGCCACATCGTAATTCCATCATGGAGGCCATTGCGTAAAGGGAAAAAGTAAATGTTGAAGGTTCGGTGAAGCTTTTGGAATCAAAATCATTACCATGATGAATAAATAACACATACATTCACTATTGAGTATCAACATAATGACCAAATTTCAATATAAAAATATACTAAAATTAAACCCTTTTTCTTAATCTCAGCATTAACTAAGGCATCGACTAATAAAATAAAGTGGAAGGAAAATATGCATGGCTCTGCACTGTCCTTGGCAGTTCTCTTCCGGAAATTTATGGCACAACACATTAAAAATATCTTTATTTGTGGACGTACAGAGAGACGAAACCCTGCAAGATTTGGACCTGTCCTTTCTTTCTTCATCTGGTTTTTGCAAATTTGCAGTGGTCTACATAGTGCTTGGTGGGAAGACCAGAGCCAAGGATGGAATGGCAGTACTAGGGCCCCCTTCTCTTTGTATCAAAGAATTGCCACGTCTTTTGACATTTCAGGGCTATTTCTCTCCACAATTTTGACTCATTCATGCACTCAAATTGCCCCAAAATTTTTTCTTCGGTTTAAAAATATGAACTACAGTCCGGCTCCCCCCAAAGTCACCACATAACTAGACATTCTGTAGTAGGCTTTTCGCCTGTTGAGGATTTATTCCCCACTCTTACTCCCAAAGTTATTAATGCATAATTTAAGGAATTAAGTTTTGCATTTACCAATATGTAATACGCTTCTTTGATTAAATGAAAGAATGTAAACTTGATATGTTTGGAATGATTTATGCTTCTAATTCTCAAGAGAAAATTTCAAAGCTTAGTTCCATTATGTTAGAAGCTTCAATATTATATAGTTAGTCCACTCATCCAAACATTACTTTTTTGCTTGAGGGTTTAAACAGTGTACTTTGTGAATTACCAAAAAGTGGTTAACCTTTTTAGAAATCGTGTCATCAGTCTCATCAGTATAGAGTAGAGAAGTTTTAAAAGGAATAATAATAACAATTCTGTAAAACATATTATAAGCTGAATGCTGTCAGCTTACTTGGAAGCAAAGTCAATTTAATGCTTAGCTTGGAAGATTACAACTTTTCCCTTGACTTCACCCCCTGATTTAACCGACTCAAAATTACAAAAATATCCCATCTCCACAGTCTGATTCGGTTGCATGAGTGCTTCAACATAAATTAGCATGTCAGTGGCATTTTGCCCTCTAATTTGTGCAATAATGCTACAACATGCAACTGTATACAGTTTAACTTGCTGTAATGGGAACATGTAAAAACACAAACAGATGGATGTATTGGTCTGAAAAAATTTATCCTCTGAAAGTTGAAGCCTTTGAAAAGTTCTTCGGAACATACAGCCGAGAACAGATTTGAGACATGCTTCATCCCTAAAAATTGTCACAACAATCTTCTTCAATATAACAATTAAAGTTAAATATATCTAAGCAAGGTTATGCTCACCTAAACTTTTGCAACTTGATTTAGAGGTACCCAAACCAGTTTCATGAGAAATAGTAGGGTTGTTAGTGGTTAAGCAAATTAAAGATGAAAGCAGGTCCAGTGCCTTCAATGCATCTGCTTAGTTGTACAGACTGAAATAACCGAGAATCCAAGGATGTACTCTTACAACTTATTTTAACTATATTCTTTTCTAACAACTTATTTTAACTTAGAAGAGTACGCTATGTTTTAATTTTGTATCTTTCCCAAAAGATCGGGGATAAACAATGAAGGAATGGACTGTCTAGCAAAGTATAGCATAAGGCCAAACCAATATTCAAATAAGATCACACTAACATTGCAGTGAACTTCTGACAGGGAAAATTAATCCTATGGTCAACACACATGGAAACCAAACTTACCAAAATAATGCACTATGCACAAGGGCAAAGTCTCTTGGTATGCAGATGTGAACCATCACATGACAGCATTGATTGCGTTCGAGTATACAAACATGCTCCTGGATTCTGAAAGATAGAGAAAATATGTAATTCTAAAGTTTTAGAATTAAATTTTTAGTGTATTGATAGGGTTTCATTTTTTATTACATGATTTGCATTTTCATAAAAATAAAAAACTAACTAGAATGAAATTATTTCAATTATGAGTATAAACAACCAGTTTAGTACATATAGTTTAATTTTACTTCCATGGCAAGGTGAGAAACTGAGCATGAAAGTTTTGATGTTCAAACACTTCCAACTAATCACTAAATTATCTGGAAATACACAATTCCTGCAAATATAAAGTTGTATAAAAAAGGCATAATATACCAAATGTTTGGGAGCATCATCAACAACTTCTGCAGGTTGATCTGCACCAACACTTGCCAAGCATGCTCCTTTGCAGCTCATATATTTCTGGATACTGTTTAGAAGGAAGAACTCAAACCAAAATCCAAGAAGAAAAGAAGATATTGAAAGTGCATGAAACATTAATTTAGAAAATGATTTCAAGCACAAATCAAAAAGAACCTCCCTGTTTAATATTACACCTACAATGTCCTCCTTGGATGTTATAAACCAAGGATAATGTATATGGATGATAGGAAGTGCAAGAAGATTGGCAAAATTCAGGTTATCAAAAGACAATGGGGATAACTGTAATAGCAAGAACTGTAACTTCAACAAAACCACCTAGCATTCTAAGGCATTCTCTCTAGCATTTGATGGAACATAATTATCAGCAACATTTTTGAGAATGCAAAATGAAAAAGAGGAGAAATCACCACAAGATGTAGTAGAAAGTGAGGCAGTTTTTGCATGAGGTTGTTATGCTCTCTCTCTCTCTCTCTCTCTCTCATACACATCCGCGCGCGCACACACACACTTTTGTATTGACATCTTGAAACCGGTTTTTAATTTGCCTTTGATTAGGTATCTGTAACAGCAACTAATAGTTTGTTGAATTACAAAGTGGCATGGTTTTTGGAAAAGCCCAGAAAGCCACAATTTCAATTTGAAGTACAATTAGATTCTGTAATTTCAAATTGCTTCAGTTCAAAATTCAATGGGAATTTTCAAATGCTATATTCACACAAAGTCTAAAGGATTTCCGTTTTTGAAATACTACATGTGATTAGACAAACACTAAAGTTACATGTACATGGAAATAAAATGTCAAGTTTTTGGCCTTTTAACTAGTAAGAAGCCAAATTAAGCTGGAGGAGCATAGTGAATCTCATCCTCACACCTTTGGCCACACATTGGGGTAAGGAGAAAGAAGGTGACAAAGAGAAAATAAAAGCTAGTCTGTTCTTTGTGTGTGTATAAATGAAAGAAAAGCTTGTCTCTTAAGGGGAAGCTATATAGATTTATAAACATATAAATAAAAGAATCTGCAAGAGAGCTAGTGCTAATAATCCCAACTCCTACAGCATGTCTCAATTTACGCATCAATTAAGGTATGTGCATGTGTCAACATTTGTTTTGTGCTCTTCTGTGTGGCAGGTTTATTGTTATTGCAGGCAGATCAACAAAACAGATAAAGCCACTCCAAAAAATTTTTAGCCATGTACTCAAGCAAATAATGAACAAGAAAACCAAATATGAGAAGAGAAAGGTTAAAAAGACCATGAAGAACTTACATATCACAGTGGTTAAGTACCAAAAGCTTATTTAATACGCATGATTGTCCATTTGACCTGCAAACTGAATCACAAGACTCTCCTTTCCTATGTTTCATGGAAAAAAGAGAAAAAGTGTTAGCTCGACAAAAAATTACATGTTAAGAGTGAAGAAACAGAACCAATCACAATGGAGATTCACCTTCCAATGATAACATTAATTCCATGTAGTCTGGCTTCTACAGGTGTGACAGAGGACCCTGTTGCAAGGACAATTCAATCCATATAATTCAATACTTAAATACTCAACCAGAAAGATAACTGTTGATTTCAAACAGCATAGTTATGCAAGTTAAAAAAATATCAATAGGAAGGGTGTCAATACCTTACACAAGATGCAAAACCTTCTGCTATTACTTGGTTATATTTATGGGCTCAATAGTAATTTCAAAGTTTTGGGGTTATTAAATTAATTAATCTATGCTTATTTCACAAGTAATATGGAGTAGCTTATAAACACTTCTATTGTTTCACCTTCTACAAGCTTTTGGACAATTGAGATCCCCTCTATGTCCTTTCCCTGGTTCATCTATTACGCTCTCAATTTCCTCTGTCTCTTTCATTTCTTTCTTATTTCTCTCTGTTCTCTATTTTCTCTCTCTTTTCCTATACACCGCACCAGAGGAGCAGAATTTAAGAGGAAAATATAAAATATGGAAATGTAAAATAACTATTGGGATGAGCCAATGACATAATAATAATGACAAGAAAGTCATGTCCCAACATACCAGTAGAATTTGATGGGAGAGAGAAGCAATGATGAAAATCACTAATGTAAGCATTTTCGTGAACCTGAAACATAGTTTAACCACCAGCATTGGAGTCTCAAAACATAAAAATGCTGTTATATGAATCACATATATTGCCTAAAGAAATGTCACTATTGAAGAAAATGACACAGGTTATTAAAATTAATGAGCCATTATACTGGTCTGTGATTTACAGCATTGCATAACAGTCTTCACGACCAATGGTTTCCAGGAAATTGTATCTAGATAGTTCTTTTTCATTTAATAAAATAAATGATCTAGAACACCGTAAATAAATTCCTATATCAATAGAATATCACTTACCACACTTTCAGAATTGTGACGACACCTCCCAGCACAAAAATCAAAGACGCTGAGATAAGCCCCTGGAAAAGAGGGCCAAACAAAAAAGAGAGAAAAATTATGATGACCTAGTACCTCATAGACAATCCCTTAAATGATAGCTATACGATGTTTAAAAACAAAAGAAAAGTACCACAATTTTGAAAATTAAATATATCTTCAGCTGGACAAATTGCCGCACCAAGAACCCAGGAAGTGCCAGTGATTACTTAGAATAATTGTGGCTTCCAAAACTATAAACTTACCTGCTGTAGCTGGCTTAGCTATTTTCAGTTTCAGTACTTGTTCTTTTTGTGTCTGCAAAATAAATATTAGTATAAATTTAAGTTTGGCTATCATATAAATGATAATTAGCCAAAAGAAAAGGGAAAAAAGGGAGTGCTAAAGAAGATACTTGAGCAGGGTGTAGGCAGCATGAAACACAAAATTCATAGGAGTTACAACACTGTGAAAGAATGTTGCATCCACTGCAAATGAGAACAGAAGGTGTTACAAGCTACCATAAAGACTGTTATTAAAGTCACTATCTTGGGGACCTTAGAAGAAATAAACTCACTGACAAGAGAATTTGTCTCCTCTTTCAGGACAGCAACGGGACTGTGGATCCAATGAGAGAGCATCACACACATAACCTACAATGTAAATACGAGTGTGAAGCTAATGAAACTAAAAGATAAGATGAAAAGCCAGACTTATTAGATGCAATAGGTAATACAATAGCCAAAGTTAGAATTGCAACAAGAGTTACACAGACTCTCAAGTAGTGACGGTATGCATTAACAAGTAAGTAGAAATTTGAACACAAATTAAAGAAAAACGACAGGGAAAATAAAGTCTTAAAAGTACAAATGAAGCCCTAAACAGATCAGATTAAACTTCTACCTTTTCCCTTTCCATTCCATATCACAATTTTTACTTTCCCTTTTGTTTATCAAACTCTGAGCAATCTGAGGATATAGCGAAAGATGAAAGAGCATGAACCACAGGTGCATATCCTTGAAGTACCAATATTTAATAAAGTTTCTTGATTTACTGATATTGATTTAACCAAAAAAAAAGAGTCCTTTATATATTATGGTAATAACGTTTTCGAATCAGTTCCATAAAAGAGAATCTTTTGCTCCAATTATCACGAGGAAGAAACTATGTGCAGCCCCGGAATCACAAGTCATACGCGAAAGGGAACAGCTTTATATTCTCCGCATTCAGTTTTTCATACCTATTTTTTCCAACATCTAATTCCGTTGACAAATAAAACCCGTGGTTTTTCAAAATTTACAAACTCTAGAGCTTGAATTATGGCAGTCCAAAAGGAGAATTGATGAAGCGAGTACTCACCATTATCATCAGATAATAAATATCTTCCTTGAACTGTTGTTCTGCAAATAAGCCTCTCTGGAAATCCAATCTCCTTCCTAGAATTCCACCAATCCCATTAATTTTTTAAAAAAAAAATGAAAAGAATTAAAAGGCAGAAACAAAAGGACCCAAAACACTTTCGACATTAAAAATTCGTAGAAAGTACTTTCTCTCTGATTGTAATATACCTGGTAGCTGACATGGTGAATGAGAATTGAACAAGGAGTTGCTGAAAGAAAACCCAGGATAAAATTAACCTGGATTTGGATTTCGACATACTCGTCTTGGATTTTAGAACCGATCAAAATTTCTTATTTCTTCCTTTTACTCTCCTGTCTTCCCCGAGCTCCGACGCCCGAGAATGCAAGTCATCGGTTGAAGGACAGCCCAACTCCCCAAGCCCATAAAATACACCTGAATTTAAAAAATATATAATAGTTTTCCTTTTTTTGGTTTTACATTTTATAAATAAAAGGATATTCATTTATTTATTATTAAGAACTTTAATATAATGTTTAAATATATTAAATTATTATTAATTATGATATATGTCACATAGGATAATAATAAATAATATGTTGATTAAAGATTTAATTAATTTAAAATAAAAATATAAAAAAATTTAAATTTTTTAAATAATTAAAAGGTTTTTTTAAATATTATATCATAATGTTTTTTTCTCAAAATAAGGTTGTTTGTAATTTTATTTACCAAATTAGAGTTCTTTCAAACTTTATTCCTAAAATAAGGTAATTTGTCCGATTAAATTCCACGTCAGCATTCTCCTTTTCATTCTCTTTGATAAGGATATACATAATTAAGGGTGATGTGGATAAAATAATGCAACGGAAAACAAGAGATAAGTGAGCAGTTTAAGGGAAGGTAACTATTTTGGTTCTCCCCCACCCCCCACGAGCATGAAACGCAGCGTAGCTCTCCCAGTGGAACATTGCAGGAGCCCGCAACACAATGTGTGCAACTCAAAGTCGGCACGTGCTCCGCTTGGTCCTCTCGTGCCGCAACATCACCGCGCACGTGACTCAGCCAGGGACCTCCTACATCGTCGCCATGGCCTCCTCCACCGAGCAAGAATTCCTCATCCAATACCGCTCCAAGCTCGACCATTTCCCTCGATCCCACCACTACTGGGACGCCAAAGTCGCTTCCAGAGTCGGCGAGAAACTCGGCTTCCGCTTGAAGGGGATCGGCGTCAGCAACATCGCCATCGATGTTAATGAAGAGATCTCCAGACCCATTCACCGCCGGAGATTGGTTTTGCCGCTCTTTGACTCGTTACGCCGCGTCGGTGTTGAGATCGACGGTGCCGATAGGTTGGCGGAAATCGGGCCTAGCATGGGTTAGGCTTTCATTTCGAAATTCAACAAACGCCAGCAGACATTCTTCGCCCTTAATTCTTTAGGATGCTTTTATTTACAGAGATTCGGCTTCTGAATTATATTTTCTGTAATTCAGAATTGTTATATTTCTTTTTCTTCAGATATACCAAAAGGGGTTTTCTGTAATTGAGAATTATTATTATTTTCCAATGAAAATTTCAATGCAGTGCTTTACATTGCTTTGGTAGCTTCTTCTGGGAAGTGCTGGTAGCCATTTTTGTAACAATACGAACTGGTAGCATAAGTTCACAGGATATTCATTCATGAGAAACTAGCTCAATTACCTTTTATTTTCTGTTGAAACAAAATTGGTCAACTCTAGTTTGCAGTGGAGTTCAGTACAAGTCCAATCTATCATTACTTTGAAAAAGAGTTCAATCAGATTAAAGATTGACTTACAATGTTGAAAAGCCAGAAACTACAACAACATTCAACCTTATTCATTTCTTCTTTTAATGAGAAATGTGACCCATAATCAATTTGACACATCACAGTACACAACTTAGTTGATGATTCCTTAACTAAATCAGCCTGTTTTAACCTGAGATATATTGAAGAGAGTTCTTTTGATTTAGTATTTTAATTGGAAAAATTGAAATTAGGCGGAAATAGAGAAATAGCAAGTCGGAAAGTTGGAACTAAGCTATGGTGGGTTTGGCTTGGTAGCAGAAGTTAGGCCAGCTTGAAGAACACTCAAGAAAGTTGGGAGGATTTCCACAATGTTGAAATTAGTGAATAAAAGGCGACTTCAATGCCTTTGGCTGAAGCTTACTAGCTCTGATATGAATCCAAAGGGGGAAGGGAATCAGTGGACCTTGAAGGAAAAAAATCTGACTTCATGTCTTTGATGATGTTGGTTTTGTTATAGTAAACTCATTTAGCCAATCACAGAATGCTTTATGTTTTTCTCAATGCAGAGGGGAAGCAGAAAGTAAAGCAAAGATACGAATTTAAGAAGGATTTTGGGATTTTCTAAATCCAACATGATGACTACTCACCAACTATGAATGATCGCATTTGAACTATAAAACTGAAATTCTGGCATGGCTTTCCCCTCAAGAAACCTTGAGGAAGTCCTCTGTTTGCTGATCCTATAGCTCATATTCTTGGAAAGAATATAAATCTAGACAGTAATGGCCTTCACCAGTTGTTTCTTATTGGCTTTCTCTATTGTTGTCATGCTTTCAGGCATTGATACAAACTTGGCAGCTCGCTATCTTCTTGACAAGACACCGTCTCCAGCTCCATCTGTGCTGTCCGTGTCTGCTCCACAATCATCACTGCCTTTGCGCAGTTCAAAATCAAGTTTGACAGCACCTGCAGAGCCTCCTTTGGCCGGCTCTCAACCATCCGTTTCTAGTTCCATGCCAAGTTCATCAGAATCAACGACACCACCCTCAGCTTCAGATAGACCATCTCTGCCTAATTCTACGCCAAGCTTGACGCAGCCCGCAGCAGCGCCTAAAGCTTCTAGTCAGCCATCTTTATCTAATACAATCCCAAGCTCAACACATCCCACACCCTCTCAGCAAGCTTCCCCTAATTCAATCCCAGGCCCGAGAGAGCCAACAATGGCTCCAATGGGTTCCTCTCATCCGTCCTTGTCTAATACAAAGCCAAGCTTGACACAACCCGCAATGTCACCTTTAGCTAATGCCCAACCGTCTTCGTCTACTAATGATCCATCTCTGTCCAATTCAGCGAACAACATGGCACAGCCTGCTGTGGCACCTATGGCTTCTACTCATCGGTCTTCTCCAGATAATGTACCAAGTTTGGCAGTGCCTGCTACCTCGCCTTCAGCTACTACCCAGCCACCATTGCCTACCAATAATTCATCTTCGTCCAATTCAATGCCAAGCTTGGCACAGCCTGCTATGGCACCTATGAATTCTATTCATCCATCTGCACCAGGTAAAGTGCCAAGCTTGACACTGCCTGCAACGTCGCCTTCAGAAACTACCCAACCATCGTTGCTTAATCCATCTTCGTCCAACTCAACATCAGGCTTGACACAACATGGAATGGCACCTATGGCTTCCTCTCCGCCATCTTCGCTAGATAACATGCCAAGCTTGACACTGCCTGCAACATCACCTTCTGCTACCAGCCAACCATCTTTGCCTACTAATAGTCCATCATTCTCCAATTCAACGATCAAGCTTGACACAACCTGGAATGGCACCTATGGCTTCGTCTCAACCATCATTGTCAAACTCAATGCCAAGCTTGGGACTGCTTCAATGTCGCCTTCTCCTACCGGCCAACCATCATTACCTACAAATATTGCATCATTCTCCAACTCAACACCAAGCTTGGCGCAACCTGGAATGGCACCTTTGGCTTCCTCTCAACCATCATTGTTAAACTCAACGCCAAGCTTGGGACTGCCTTCAATGTCGCCTTCTCCTACCAGCCAACCATCTTTGCCTACTAATAGTCCATCATTCTCCAATTCAACGTCAAGCTTGACACAACCTGGAATGGCACCTATGGCTTCGTCTCAACCATCATTGTCAAACTCAACGCCAAGCTTGGGACTGCCTTCAATGTCGCCTTCTGCTACCAACCAACCATCTTTGCCCACAAATATCCATCGTTCTCCAACTCAACACCAAGCTTGGCACAACCTGGAATGCCACCTATGTCTTCCTCTCAGCCATCATTATCAAACTCAACGCCAAGCTTGACACAACCTGGAATGGCACCTATGGCTTCCTCTCAGCCATCACTGTCAATCTCAACGCCAAGCTTGGGACTGCCTTCAATGTCGCCTTCTGCTACCAGCCAATCATCTTTGCCCACAAATATTCCATCGTTCTCCAACTCAACACCAAGCTTGGCACAACCTGGAATGCCACCTATGTCTTCCTCTCAACCATCCTTATCAAACTCAACGCCAAGCTTGACACAACCTGGAATGGCACCAATGGCTTCCTCTCAACCATCATTGTCAAATTCAACTCCAACCTTGGGACTGCCTTCAATGTCGCCTTCTGCTACCAGCCAACCATCTTTACCTACAAATAGCCCATCGTTCTCCAACTCAACGTCAAGCTTGACACCAACTTGGAATGGCACCTATGGCTTCGTCTCAACCATCATTGTCAAACTCAACGCCAAGCTTGGGACTGCCTTCAATGTCGCCTTCTGCTACCAACCAACCATCTTTGCCCACAAATATTCCATCGTTCTCCAACTCAACACCAAGCTTGG